TCCCATGGGGTCATCCCGAACCACCCGATCCCACAGGATGATCCTGAACCGCCCCGATCCCATGGGATCATCCTGAACCGCCCTGATCCCATGGGGTCATCCTGAACCACCCTGATCCCACAGGATGATCCTGAACTGCCCCGATCCCATGGGATCATCCTGAACCACCCTGATCCCATGGGATCATCCTGAACCACCCCGATCCCAAGGGATCATCCTGAACCACCCCGATCCCATGGGATCATCCTGAACCACCCTGATCCCATGGGGTCATCCTGAATTGTCCTAATCCTGTTAGGTCATCCTGAACCACCCCATCCCGTGGGGTGATCTCAGACTGCCCCGATCCCGTGGGGTCATCCCAAACCAGCCAATATCCCATGGGGTGATCCCAAATCCCGTACCCAGCTGGCCGTACTCGGGACACCCAAAGGAATACTGTTCCCATGGGGTGATCCCAAATCCCACGGGATGATCCCAAATCCCGTACCCAGCTGGCTGTACTCGGGACACCCAAAGGAATACTGTTCCCATGGGGTGATCCCAAATCCCATGGGGTGATCCCAAATCCCATGGGGTGATCCCAAATCCCATGGGATGATCCCAAATCCCGTACCCAGCTGGCCGTACTCGGGACACCCGAAGGAATACAGGTTCCCATGGGGTGATCCCAAATCCCATGGGGTGATCCCAAATCCCATGGGGTGATCCCAAATCCCATGGGGTGATCCCAAATCCCACGGGGTGATCCCAAATCCCACGGGATGATCCCAAATCCTGTACCCAGCTGGCCGTACTCGGGACACCCGAAGGAATACAGGTTCCCATGGGGTGATCCCAAATCCCGTTCCATGGGGTGATCCCAAATCCCACGGGGTGATCCCAAATCCCACGGGATGATCCCAAATCCCGTACCCAGCTGGCCGTACTCGGGACACCCGAAGGAATACAGGTTCCCCTTGCAGTCCATGACCATGCTGAACTCGGCCCCGCAGCCCAGCTTGGAGATCGGCTGCCCATTGTACAGGATCTGGGAAAAACCGGGAATGGGGTCAGGAAATCCGGGAAAAGGAGACCAGAAAAAGCGGGAAAATGGGAAAACGGGAGCAGAAATGCAGAAGGGGAAAAACGGGGGTCAGAAACACGGGAAAAGCCGGAAAAATGGGATCAGAAAAGCCAGGGAGAAGAGGAAAATGGGGATCAGAAATATGGGAAAATCTGGGAAAATGGGATTAGAAAAAATGGGGGTCAGAAACACAGGACAAG